TACTCCGAGCCACCTGTTGTCCTTTTTAGACATGTTCTAGGCTTGACCCACATAAACAAAAGTCAGAATAACAAAACGCCGTCTGTGGGAATCGAACCCACGACCACATGGTTAAAAGCCATGCGCTCTACCGGCTGAGCTAAGACGGCTTTCTTACCACTCGGTCGGCCTTTTATTCTAAATAACGGTTCCATATTCCTTGCAATTGCCATGGGATCCGTACATTCGTTTCTGCAATAGCAATACTAAAGATGAAAGATTTTAACCAATAATATGTTGATTGGAGTAAAAATAATTTAATTTTTTTTTAAATATGATTTTAAGTTCAAGTTTTTTAAATGAAAAAACAAATATTGAGAGAGCTGCCCTTAATGGGATTTAATACGACTTAATTTCAGATTAATCGAAATTCAATGTAATTATCAAATACCAAAAAATTAGTACAAAAAAAAAAAAAGGATTTTAAGATAGTAAGAAATTTTGTAATCCAAAATCAATGCCTCAACTAGTAAGAGCTTTCAAGACTTCAAGTTAAGAAGTCTCGTTTAAACAATTTTGTCTCAAGTTTAGACTCTTTTGAACAATAGGTAAATTTTATACGGACGGGTAAATGAGTTGGTAAGAAACTCTTTCAGTTTAATCAGTAATTTTAATTTCAAGTTATAGGAATGCAGTTCCATTAAAACTTGTGAGGGAAAATTTTGCTGCTCGTTAGGTCATACCCGACTCAAATCCAAATTAATCGATAGTCGAATGAACTTTCGGATACCGAATGATCCATACAAATAAAAAAAAAAAATTAATGACTAAAGGTTATATAATATCTACATAGATAGAAAAAAATGCCTTATTACATATATAAGGCCTTACATCTATATGTGAGACATTTAAACACAAACAGAAATAAGAAAAAAACAAGAGTCGAGTTCAGTTTCAAACACTATTTTAACATCAAAGAAAGGCAAACAGCAGTTAAAGAACATGTTTTTTTTTTCTTCTTTTTCTTTAACCTCTAAATGAGTTGTTACTATTTTTCATGCTCCCTTGCTCTGACGTTCTAGGGTAGAACCACACCTTTCAACTTACTCTTAAGAGTTACAGCCCAATCTCCGTTGATGCTGCAGCTGTAAAACTATATCATCAGTTAAGAACATGTTTTTATCTTCTTTTTCTTCCTCCCCATCTCTCCTGTCAGATCTTAGGAAGAAACGCAGCAACAGACAGCTGGCCAAAGAATTGCTAAAGGAAAGAGAAGTGGGTCTGATTCAGAAAACTAGATGAAATTAAAAGAAATTTACATGAAAAAGTTAGATCTACAAAGCTGAAAACAACAAAGTCAGAAAAGAGGACATGCCACCTCTAATGTTAACCAAACTGGTCATTAGCCCTTGGCCCAAGTTCACAGAAGTCCTACCATGCCAACATGCACCGAGAGAAAAGGGTTTGTTAGCATAAAACACGCACCTCCAGCCTTATATTATTGTCCCCAAACTCAGGTACTCAGCATAGTTTTCAATGAAATGTGCCTTAAACGTCCAATTTTCAGGTAGAAGAGAAGGTTCCACCGTCAACTGGATTCAAATCGATTAATGGAATTCTTGGGCTTATATTTTATACCTCAGAATCATATAAAATAGTTCACAAACATCATTAGTGAAAATTTCTTACAGAATGATTTGAGTAGTGAGGAATAGAGAGAAGCAGAGAGAAGAAATTTCTTTTATTTAGCTATCAAAAGAATTAGAAGAGAAAAAAGGAGAAGAAAATCTTGTCTTTATTTTTTCTTTTAATTCATTTGTTTATTCAAATTAGGGGAGGAAAGGGGAGGGAACCTCAAACCGAACGTACTGTAAATATGAAGTCAAACACTTAACACAGATTAACAATAGATTGCCATTCCATCTGGCAATTGCTCTTGTTGTTATCCGCAAAAATGAACATGTTGCTAAAATATATGGTGAAAACAAATTTTGAACATTATAAACACCACGCTCCTTGTGTCGATCATAATAGTTTCTTACTGAGAAAATCATTCAAAAATCCCAGGTAAGCAGCTTGAATCACTGCCAACTCTGAAATAATCAGTCACGCTTATCTTGCTGGTCTCCAATCTCCTGCAAGTAGTGTTCAGCATCTAATGCTGCCTTGCACCCTGCATCATTGGAAAACAAACGTATTTCAGCCTAGCCAGAATAAGCATAAAGCAAGACGTTGAGAAACTGCCTCTCTAGAAGTAAAAGTTGAATAAGGTACAAGAGAAATTGTTTTGGAGCATAATTTTGCTCAATTTTCAAAATAAGAAAAAGTTACTTCCATACGCCACCAAGGAATGATCTAAGAAATCATTGATGAAGTTGGTCATACAGACAACAAAGGTGATCAACAACTTAACCTTTATATGTGAGTCAATAGAGAGAACGAAAGCAAATAGCAACCAGATTTTACCTCTCTTTTACTCCCCATGGTAAAAGTTCAATACCTACACTTGGCAGTGGAACATTACTGGAAAAATATTTCTTAACTTCATTTTATGTTTTGATTTTATTCTTATTTAAATTGCAACTGCAATATGTATACGTGCAATCAGACCTTGCATTTGGCAAAGAGCATCAAATCTGAGTAAAGGTCAGAGAATGGCATGGAATGAAGATGTATCTAAAGATGGAATTCATGGTTAACAAAATCTCAATAATAAAAGTAACGAATGTTAGCTTAAATCAGAACCAAGTACTATTCTCAGGCTACCCCTTATTTAATACGCCATGCCCTTGCTCAGGCCAAAAAAATTGATGGCCCTACTGACCCAAATCAGGAGTAACAAACAGGTAAGAGAAAATAACAAATAAGCTATATATCCCTTCATGGTAAAAAATCTAGCCTAGCAGGAATAAATCTGAAGAAGCTTCTTTCCGCACATCTTAATCAAAGGCCAAAATTAGCAATTCCCCATTTGCTAATCAAAAGCTTTACTTCAAGAGTAGAAGTCACATAAGCAAGTAGGCGCCATGGAATATAATGATTAACCAACCAAATATTAGTATAAAGAAAAGGAAATGATAGAATTTTCTATGTCATTATTCATTGGACAAAGGCACGTATGTTCTAGACAGCATAAGTGCATATCAGCAATAACATAGGGAACAAGCAAAGAAGATGCCTTATGTGTGACTTAATAAAGATACACTCGAAAAGTACTTCAACAGTGAAGCTTTAATACCAAAGAACTAGCAAAAAATTTCTGATTGGCTATCAATCCAAAATTGCACAGTTCTTCATCAAGGAAGCAAATGAGTATTAAGGCATCATTTAATCCACCCACTACATGGACCTCCTTTCTTTTGGATGAGGGAAGTCCAGAAAGCAGTGGTTGCGGTGGTTAAATCTGAGAGTGTGTCGGGATTCACAAGTGATAACTCATCAACAAATTATGGCATTTTGATATTCTGATTCCATGATCATCTTTCAATGAAAATGTGATTTAGCTCAGTAAAAAGTTAAAACAGATCTTGAATTCAAAATTCCAGCACGAAATCAACAAGCAGAGTAGCATGTAACTTGTGGTTAGTGTAAAAATGTTACCAAATCAAGGAAGTTTCTCATGTCCTGATGTCTACCAGTTTATGCAGACATACTGACATTACATAAAAGTCCAAAAGTCGTTAAATCCCAAAAATTGTTAGGAAGAGGAAAGAAAGAGAGAAAACTGACCAGCCCCAGCAGCAGTAATAGCCTGCCTGTACTTCTTATCCTGCACATCACCAGCCGCAAATACACCACGCACACTGGTATGAGTAGAATCTGGTTTGGTGACAATGTACCCACCGGAATCAAGCTGCAGCTTGCCATCCAAGAACTTGGTGGCTGGTTCATGGCCAATGGCAAAGAACAAGCCCGAAACTTTCAAATCAGAAACCTCGTTTGTCACCACGTTCTTAATCTTCAGCCCTTCGAGGGTCCCTCTGTCGCCTCCCCCGTAGGCTTCCTCCACCACCGTATTCCATATAACCTCTATCTTAGGGTTGGCAAGAGCCCTGGCCTGCATAATCTTGGAAGCCCTGAAGGCATCTCTACGGTGGATGATATATACTTTCGAGGCGAACTTAGTGAGGAAAGTGGATTCCTCCATGGCGGAGTCTCCACCCCCAATGACAGCCAGCGGCTTGTTACGGAAAAGCGGGGCAGCCCCATCACACACCGCGCACGCGGAGATCCCCTTGTTCCAGAAGCCCTCAGGGGGGCTGCCAGACCCAGGAAAATTGAGGCGCTTGGCGATGGCACCAGTAGCAACTATAACAGAATCGGCAAGGACGGACCTGGAATCAGTGAAAACTTTAAAGGGAGATGACGAGAAGTCAACCTTGTTGACGGTTTCAGTAAAGATTTGGGTTCCGAAGCGGAGCGATTGTTTGCGGCACTTATCCATTAACTCTATGCCATGGATGCCCTCCGGAAATCCAGGAAAGTTCTCGACTTCCGTGGTGGTGGTAAGCTGGCCGCCAGGGGCAATGCCGTTAGCCATCCACCCTTCAAAGAGGATCGGCTTGAGCTCCGCCCGAGCAGCGTAGATAGCGGCGGTGTGGCCGGCTGGCCCACTACCGATGATGCAGACCTTGGTTCTAAGAGGAGAATCCATAGAAGCGGCGGCTGCTGCTGCTGCTGCTGACGGAGCGGCGGAGGTTGAAAAAGATACCGCCGCCGCGGCTGTGCTGGCGAGTCCGACGAAGCTGCCGGCTTTTACGAGCAGATCCTTAAACCTACTACAAGGGTTTTTGGCCATTTGGCGGGGCGCAGAAGACATTTCGGTGCGCATTTTATTTGGCGATACGAAGACGTTTTAGTGGCCAAAAATCCGACAGATTTACCGGGAATTGGAATTCTAACAGAATGGGTCTCCGTCTCTCCGCTTAAAATTTACGGCAATTTCACTCTTAATTATAATATTTTCGTCATGTTCAAAAAATATATATATAAAAAATATTTTCGTAATATATAAGCTTTTAAAATAAATTCGTACCGTACTCGATTTTTCGGGTTACCTGTACCCCTAACACCTTGAGGTGCATTTCCCTCCTTTATGAATACATTTCGAACTCGTCTTGATAATTTGTTTTTTTTTTTCTTTTTTTTGAACATTTTATCATGGGATCTGCTTGAACTGTTGCTTTAGGAGAGGGGAATATAAACCTTACAAGTATAACTAGAGCCACTTGACTCGAAAGAATAAATTTGCCCTTAACAATTTGTTAAAAAAATAAAAAAAAAGGTAAATGCGTACCACGAGAATAAGGGTAAATAAAGTAAAGGTTTAGATACCTAGATTACCGATTACTCAATTTGTCTCGAAATATAGTATTTTTTTTTTTTT